CTCCCCTCTGGCCTCACTGTCTTGCTCTCTCACTCTTGTGGCCTTTATTCGATCCTGGGACCACACGCCTTCTCTCAGGCCTCCAGGCCTTTTCTGATGCTCTTTCCTCTTCCTGAAATGCTGCTGTTCAGTAAACTCTTCTGCAGTTTGGACTTTTGGCCTGGACAACATTCCGATGGAAAACTCTGGAAAGACAGACTTAGTAACACTCGTGCTATTTGTCTGCTTGCTTCTGGATCCTGGTTGTCTGATTGTGCTCTAAAATGACCAGAAAGGTTTAATTTAGTTTATTATTATTGGTGTGTGTGTGTTCTGTGTTAGAATTAAGGCACGCACATGCCACAGCACATGTGTGGAGGCTGGAGGACAACCTTAGGTGCCCATCCTTACCTTCTATCTTGTTTGAGATAGGGTCTTGGGTTTACTGCTGCATATACAAGGCTAGCTAATCCAAGAGTTAGCCTTCTGTCTCTACTTTCCATCCTGACGTAGGAGAGTTGGGATTACAGATGTAGGCTACTGTGTCCAGCTTTCTGTGGGTTCTGAGGACTTGAACTCAGATCCTGACCCTTATGCAGTAAGTACTTTACCCACAGTCCCAGCCTCTCAGCCCTAGTGTGGCTTTTAAATCGTTGGGGGTTTCAGTCACATTTTCCCAAAGGCTCTGAGTTAACTAACCAGGGACAGGGCTGAGTTCTGGTAGTTTTGAGAGGTCCCAAGGTTTGTTTAGAGATAGTGAGATGGACAGGGAGTTTTCTGGGGCCTAGAGTCATACTTGTCACCATCATCAATATCATCATTAGAATCTCCTGATACCGAAACACTCAGACATTTAGTAAGGGCACTGAAGGGACAAAAACCAGTGTGTACCAAGTGCGCATGTGATACTAAGGTAAGCGTTCTCAAAGGGAGCAATGGGACAGTCACCAGTTTCTAGTAAAAGCTAGAAAAACTCATCCACTGGGATTGAAGAGATGACTCAGTAGTTAAGTGTTATACTTCTATTCCAAAGGACCCGAGTTTTGGTTCCCACCTTGGGCAGTTCACACCAACTTGTATCTCCAGCTCCAGAAGAACCCATCACTTCCGGCCTCCAGGGGGCACTGTGCTCATGTGACTTTCCCATACACTCACATATAATTGAAATGAAACAAAATCCTAGAAAACCCTCATCTATTATGTCATGTGCGGTGTCTCACCCCAGTATTTCCTTTTTTCAGATTTTTTTAAAATTTAAATTTTTAAAAATTTAATCTTCTGTCATATATCGCATCCTGACCATGATTTTCCTTCCCTCCTCTCCTTCCAGTCCCTCCCCTGGCACATTCCCTGTCCCACAGATCCACTCCTCCTCCCTTTCCTTCAGAAAAGGGCAAGTCTCCCAGGGATATCTACCAAACACGGCCTGTCTCCCAGGGATAGCAACCAAACATGGCCTGTCAAGTTATAATAAAACTAGGTGCATCCTCTCATATTAAGCCTGGACGAGGCATCCCAGTAGTGGGAAGAGAGTCCCCAAAGCAGCTCCTGCTTCCGCTGTTAGGAGTCCCACAGGAATCCCAAGCTACACAACCATACATATGTACAGAGGACGTAGCTCAGACCCAAGAACGCTTCCTGATTGTTGGTTGAGTCCCTCTGAGTCCCTCTGAGTCCTGGTTAATTGCTTCCATGGCCCATTTTCATGTGGTCTGTAGACCCCTCTGGCTCCTACAATCCTTCCTCTCTCTTTTCCACAGGATTCCCTGAGCTCTAATGTTTGCCTGTGGGTCTCTGCATCTGCTTCTATTGGTTGCTGAATGAAGCCTCTCTGATGGTGATTATGCTTGACTCTGGTCTTTGAATACATCAGAATTTTACTAGGAATCATTTTATCCCCCCCACCCCACTCCCCCATCCTGTTTGGTTCTATTTCTGTCTCTGGGCTATCCAGACTCTGGTTCCTGGCCTTCCAGGCAGTATGAGGTGTGGGGTTCCTCTCCTGGTGTGGGCCTCAGTTTGGACCAGTCACAACTCAATAGTCTGCTTTTCCAAGTTCTGCACCACGTTTACCCCAGGACATCTTGCAGGCAGGACGACTTGTAGGTCGAAGGTTTTGGGGCTGGGTTGGTGTCCCCATCCCGTGTAACATGAGGGCCGGCTTGTTGGGGTTTCTGTCCCGCCTGGTACCCCACAGCCGGCAATTCCCAAAGAAAATCAATCACACAGAGATCTCTCTCTATATACAACTGATTGGCCCATTAGGTCAGGCTACTTATTAGCTCTTATAACTTATGTACCCCATTATCCTTATCTATATTAGCCACATGGCTCAGTACCTTTTCCAGTGGGGCAGCTTACATCTTTCCTCTCCGGTGGTCTGGGCAGAACTGCAGAGGGAGCTTCCTGCTTCCCAGAATACTCCCAGTCTCTTTGCTCCACCTCTACTTCCTGTCTGGCTTTCCCGCCTGCCTGGCCAATCAGTGTTTTATTAAAATATGATTGACAGAATACAGACAATTCTCCCACACCAATCCCGCCGCTGGAAGCCTTGTCTGGTTACAGAAGATGGCCGGTCAGGTTCCACATCCCTCACTGCTAGGAGTCTTTGCTAGGGTCACCCTTGTGGATTCTGGGGAGTTTTGTTGCATTAGGTTTCTAGCTCACCTCTACATTACCCCCAGAGCCAGTCATATCTACCTCCCACACCCAATCCATCCTGTTCCTGCCCACACTTGCCCCAAGTCTACTCATGTAATCTATTTTGTGTCCTCTCCCCAGGGAGATCCATGCTTCCCCCTCCTTGTTAACTTGGCCTCTCTGGGTTTGTAGATTTTAGCACAATTAACCTTTACTCTATGACTAATGTCCACTTGTGAGTGAGTGCATACCATGTTTGTCTTTCTGGGTCTGGGTTACCTCACTCAGGATGATTTTTTCGAGTTCTATCCATTTGCCTGAAAATTTCATGATGTCATTTCTTTAACATCTGAGTTAATACATTGTTTAAATGTACCACATTTACTTTGTCCATTATTTGGTTGAGGTACATCTAGATTGTTTCCGGTTTTTGGCTATTATGAACAAAGCCTCTATGGACATAGTTGAGCAAGTGTCCTCGTTTCAGGATGGAGCAACCTTTGGGTATATGACCAGGAGTGGTATAGCTGGGTCTTGAGGTAGATCAATTCCCAATTTTCTGAGGAATTGCCATATTTATTTCCATAGCGGCTGTTCGTTTACACTCCCACCAGCAGTGGAGGAGTGTCCCCTTGCTCCACACCCTCCCAGCATAGACATTGGTCTTTGATCTCAGTGATCTGAGAGGTGTAAGATGGAATCTCAAAGTTGTTTCGATTTGCATTTCCTAATGACTAAGAGTGTTGAACATTTCTTTAAGTGCTTCTTGGCCATTTGAGATTCCTCTGTTGAGAATTCTCTGATTAGATCTGTACCCCATTTTTTTTCAAGACAGGGTTTCTCTGTGTAGCCCTGGCTGTCCTGGAACTTGTTCTGTTGACCTGGCTGGCTTCAAACTCACAAAGATCCACTTGCTTCTGCCTCCTGTGTGCTGGGATTAGAGTCATGCACCACCATCGCCAGGCTTGTTACCCATTTAATTGAATTATTTGGTTTGCCGATGTCTAACTTTTGAGTTCTTTATATATTTTGGATATTAGCGGTCTGTTGGGTGTGGGGTTGTTGAAAACCTTTCCCCATTCTGTAGGCTGCCGTTTGTCCTGTTGATGGTGCCCTCTGCCTTGCAGTGGCTTTTCAGCTTTGTGAGGCCCATTTATCAATTGTTCATCTTTGTTCCTTCACTACTGATGTTCTGTTCAGGAAGTCATCTCCTGTGCCAATGTGGTCAAGGCTATTCCCCACTTTTTCTTCTATCAAGTTTAATGTATCTGGCTTTATGTTGAGGTCCTTGATCCACTTTCACCTCCGTATTTCTAACACCTGGGATGCTGAAACAGGAGTATAGGGCCACCTTAATCTGTCTTGTGAGTTCAAGACCAGCCTGAGCCATAGAGCAGTGGCCCTAGCTCAACAAGCAAGCAAGCAAGCAAGCAAGCAAGCAAGCAAGCAAGCAAGCAAGCACACTAACACTACATGACCTTCTAAACCTTTGCTGATCTCTTAAGATCATCTTAAGATGATCCCCCAGTCAAGTTGGTGGCATATTTTTCTTTATTGTTGTTAAACACACACACGCACAAACATACACAAACATACACACACACACACACACACACACAGACATACACACATACACATATGCACAAATATTTATAAATACAACCCGCTGAGCCCATTTTTGTTGTTTTTGTATACATTGTTTCAAAGCTGACCACTCGGCATTAGACATCCAACAGGGTGGCTCATCCCTGAGAGAGGCTAATTCTCCTCCTGGCATCCATTAGTTGCCTGTAGTTCCTTGTCTGGTGAGTGGGTCCCTGAGAAAACTTCCCCCTTCCTTGTAAACATGTCTGTTGATACTGGCATTGCTCTGGTCTTGTCTATGCAGGCAACAGGAGAGTCTGTGGCACAGCGGATTTCCTGCTATGGGGTCTTACAATTTTCCCCCTCTTCTGAGATGTTCCCTAAGCAATAGATACAGGAACTGTGATACAGATGTACCTACTGGGGCTGGGCTCCACATGCTCCATTTATCTCTGGACTGTTTTTTTTTTTTTTTTTAAAAAAAATCTGCAATCGTCTGTATTTGCTGTTAAATGAGGCTTCTTTGATGGGGTCGGGTGGGCGGCGATAACTACATTTTACTCAGATTTTCTTGAGAACCTGAAACAAATCCAAACTCATTTTTCTGCTTTGCCAAGTAGAGGAAATGAGCAGCCAATGCTGCCGAAGTGGGAAGATGGAGAATGCCCCCGAGGAAATGACCCCGGCATCTGCTGGGGACGTCTGTCTCTCCTCCCCACCCAGGATCAGCTGGGGACGTCTGTCTCTCCTCCCCACCCAGGATCAGCTGGGGACGTCTGTCTCTCCTCCCCACTCCGGATCAGCTGGGGACGTCTGTCTCTCCTCCCCACCCAGGATCAGCTCACTGTGAGTGGCAAACATCCCCCAAGTGTGCCTGGGCCCTTCAAGGTTGACATTTTGTTATCAAACTTGGGAGGCACAGCCTGTGCCCAGATCGGCTCTTCTGTTCTCAGGAAACCAATTGAGAGGCCAGATTAAAAGTGGGAAGCAGCAGATTTACCCAGTGTGGTCACGCTGGGAAGAGGAACAAAGAGGCCCAGAGACCCCGCCAGTGCGTTTTCCGTTTTTTATTTTTTTAAAGACAGTCTCACGAAGCTTACACGCTCACTATTTAGCAGAGAGATGGCCTTGAACTGCTGACCCTCCTGCCCTACCACTCGAGAGCCCAGATTGTGGGCCTGTGCAGCCTGGTTTTTGTCGGGGATGGAACCCAGAGATTTGTGTGTGCAGGGCGAGTCTCCCAACCGAGTTACCCCCAGTCTCTGGAATTTTGTTTTGTTGTTTCAAAACGTTGCCTATTTGGAGCCTAGAATGTTGACATGCTGATAGATAATACAAACTAGTTGGGAGGCAGAGGCAGAAGGCTTAAAAATTGGAGGTCAACCTGCTCAATTTAGGCAGATTTTGTCTCAAGTAAGAAAATTAAAAAAGGGTCAAACAAATCCCTCCCCTCAGGGATCAGGGAACTCTTAGGAAGAGGAACTGGAAAGATTGTAAGAGCCAGTGGGGACAGAAGACACCGGAAACGAGGCCTTGTAGATACAGAAAAGACTGACACACGCATGACATCACAGAGCCTGAAGCAGCACAGGGCCCTTATGGGTCTAAAGCAGATGGGGTCCCGGGGCTGAGAGAAGTGGACACGAGCTCTCCCTAACCCAGAAGCTCTGTACACTGGGTAACTTCTCACAAAGGAAAATTGAGTTTTTTTTTTTTTTCAGTGGAGTCTCACTGGTCATATAAATCACACTTATGGGTAGGCCTCACGCCAGGCAAGCATCCTAACAGCTAAGCGGTAGCCCAGCCCAGACTCTGCCAGCTTAGGGTGCTGGCTGCCCATCTTGAGAGTACAGCTTTCTGGGAGCACAGGCTGGTGCTTCGGGAACGATACTTTTTTGGTTGTTGTTGTTTACTGCTGGGTAACTGAGTTCCACAGACTCAGTGGCATGAGAAGGACCCATGGTTATGACCTCAGGCTCTTGAATCAGCAGAGTGGACAGCTGAATCTTCTGCCTAGGGTCTCTCAAGCTGCAATTAGGGGCTTGCCCAGCCCTGGCTTCTTCTCAGAGGTATTTGCCTTGTTAGTGAAATCATTCTGCTACTTCCTTATGGCGGCTTGCTTTATCAGACAGCGGTCAAGATAGGCTCTGCAGCAGCAAGACCAGCACCGAGTTCTTAAGTAATCGGGGACAGTTTGTCCTGTCACCTCTGCCTCTTGCACAAGGATAGCTTTCATAAAAAAAAAAAAAAGTTTTAATTTGCTCCTAGAAGTACAAAGTTAGCTAAAGACAGCAACTTGTGTTTTTTTTTTTTTTAATCCTTTCCCCCTTTTCTTTTAAGAAAGATTTGGTTGTGTGTGGGCATCTCTCTCTCTCTCTCTCTCTCTCTCTCTCTCTCTCTCCCTCTGTGTGTGTGTGTGTGTGTGTGTGTGTGTGTGTGTGTGTATAGGTCAGGTGGCAATTTTCTGGGGAGCTGGCTCTTTCCTCCAACATTGTTTCTGAGACAGACCCTCCTGACTCTGTCTCCCGATTCACCACCACAGTGCTGGGGCTCTGGATGCAAACTGAGCTTTTCACGTGGGTCCCAGGCCTGAATTCAGGTTAGCAGCTTGGGTGCCAAGTGTTTTTCCCCAGGAACGCTGTCTGGTCAGCCCTGATTTTACTTTATTTTGTAAAACTTTGAGCAACTTTATATTTTGTCTTGATCCTGTCTTCTTTTTCTTGCCCTCTTCTCCGCCCCCGCTCCCATTTGCCCCTTTTGTTCCCTTGGGTAATTTCATTCTTACTTTGATTTTTATGTCCACACGCAGTGTCACCCTTCCTCCCCTCCTCCCAACCCCGTTAATATAAAATCTAGGGCCCGTAAATGAGAGACCGCAAGGTTTCTGTCTCTCTCAGACTGTCCCCTCTCCCAGCTACGTGTCAGCTGCATTTCCATCTGTTTTCTCAGAGTCTGGCAGTAATCAGCACTCAATAAACATGGACTGAAGGAAAATGGCAACCCTTGGCTAGTTTACTGTGGTGTCGCTGTGGCTTGGCCGCTGGAGTCATTTTGGAAAAGCACAGGCGCTGCTAAGTCCCAGGAATAAGGATGGGGTGGAGGAGCCGAGGGACTATAGGTGCCCTTGTGAACCTTGTTTGGGTTCAGAGCGTGCACTACAAGGGTGTCTTACAAACCTACGATTAGAGGATGCGGGTTCTTATGTCTCCATCAGCCGCAGAAAAGGCGGTTCTTTTTCTTTTGATGACTGCTACAAGAAGGTTTAGACCGAATATGTTTGCAGCGTTGCTCTCTTTTAAACCATAACACCAAGCAAGGCACACACAGCCTCTGCCCCTAGCGTGCGGGGGCTGGAGTTCTGCTGACGCTGGAGTCGTGGGGTTGTTTCTGTGGAGACTCCGTACCTGAGGTTCTGGGTCCAATGGGGACAGAGGCAGACACACCTGGTCAGTCAGCGCTCTGGGCTGGGGCTGGGCACCTGGCAGAGGCAAGATAAGAACTGCAGATCAGAGGCCCAAAGGCCTTCTTCCTGCTGAGCCTGTTCCTGGTAGAGCTGTATCCACGGTCCTAAGGGATGTCTGCTGGTGCTCCGGGGGTGAAGCAGGTGTTCTGCCTGTGAGAACAGAGCTGTATGTGTTGAAGGAGCTCACGGATAAGGTTTCTTTTCTTTATATCCCCCGCCTCCCCAATCTCAAGGATCACAGGTTGGCTACAAACTCACTAAGTATCAAAGACTGAGAAGTTTTCATCTGGATTCAGCCTCCCCATTCCTAAATTTGCTGTGTAGCTGAGACTGGCCAGTCTTGAGATTGTCACTGTACTTGGCTATAAGGTTTATTTATTAAAATGTAACCTCCGAACTTTGATGCACGTGGCAACTATTTTTTTTATATGAGTACAAAGGTGAATAAGAAACAACTTTAGGGGGCATGAAGAGATGGGCCCGCAGTTAAGAGCATTAACTTATAACTCCAGGTCCAGAGGATCTGATATCCTCTTCTGGTCTCTGGGGCACCTAAATTCACTCACTCACACACACATTAAAAAAGAAAAAAACAATATAGTCTAGGCACAAATAAATAGAAAAGCTTGTGAACCGTGTAAATGTAAAGGGGAGGCTGAGGAAAGATGGTACCCAAAGGGTTCACTGATGGGAGTGTGACATTTCTCGGACAGATATCCTGGAGTCACGGAGGGCTGCTGAATGGAGCCTTGATAGATTCAACCTTAATTAGTGTTCTTGAATGACAGTACAACGGATAAAGTGGTTCTGCTTATTTATCCACCCACCCTTCCATCCATCCATCTACCCACCCATCCATCCATCCATCCATCCATCCATCCATCCATCCACCCATCCATCCATCCATCCATCCATCCATCCATCCATCCATTCATCTTTTGAGTTGGGAATCTTGTTTTGTTGCCTAGGCGGGCCATGAATTTCTGGGCTCCAGTGATCCCCCTGCCTCTGCTTCCTGACTAGCTGGGATGGCAGATGTGTGTCACTTGGCTTAACTTCATAGGACATTAAGTTCCAGAAGCCGAGCCAGTGAATTTCAAGTCCAGTCTATGGCACAGTAAGGTGTCGCGGCAGGCTATTTCAGAGCTGGGAGCCGGTGAGAAGGCTCGGTGGGCAGAGGTGCTCGATGCCAAGCCTGACAACTTGAGTTCTGCCTCTGGGACCCACGCGGTAGAAGGAGAGATCAGACTCTGGAAAGTTGTCCCCTCCTGCCCCCACATCAGACACAATAAATAAAGAAGTAAACAACATATAATTAAACCTTGGGCTTGGGTCATGGGGCAACACTTAGTGGCTGTGTGACTTTAGAGAGAGGACCATAAATCTTTGCAAGCCTCAGTTTCCCCGCCTGCAAAGAGCCATTGCTATTGAGTCACGTGTCTCTCAGCTGGTCCTCTCTGATTATCTTTGAATGGGGACAGGATAGCTTTGGCTCAGGACTTGGTCTAGCTGGTCTTGTCTGGGTTCCCAGTGACTTTGCTCTGTCTCGGTGCAGAGGCCAACTCTCAAGTCCTCATGGCTGTGACCCTGCAGCCACCTGCAGACCACTCTTCTCCCTCACAAGCCCCCCCTTTTTTTTTACAAGGCCCTTTCCTCTGCTGGCTTCTACTCTGTGGATTTCCCAACAGCCCCAGCCCACCAGTTCTCATAGTCCTGTTCCGACCAACCGCTCTTCTGCCTGCTGACACCTCAGAGTCAGATGGCCCCAGGCCAAGGCAAGATCTCTTCCCTTCCACTGGCATTCAGTCCCTTGGACAGCTCAGTCTTATGACTTTAAACGACATTTAAAGAGTAGCGATGCTGTTGTTTTTATCTCTGGCCCTGACCTCTTCCAAACTTCGGACTATTTTTTTTTCTTTTTAAAATTGAGACGGAGTCTCTCTGTGTAGCCTGGCTGTCCTGGAACTCACTCTGTAGACCACGCTGGCCTCAAGCTCAGAGATCGGCCTGCCTTTGCCTCCCCAGCACTGGGATTAAAGGCGTGTGTCATCACTGCCCAGCTCAGACTCTTTTTATTAAAGATTTATTTGTATTAGTTCTCATTCTCTCTCTCTCTCTCTCTCTCTCTCTCTCTCTCTCTCTCTCTCTCTTTGTTTTTAGTCTCTCTGTAGGTGTCTGTGGAGGACATAAGAGGAATTAGACCTCTGGAGTCTATGTGGTTACAGGTTGTTGTGCGCTACCCCACATAGGTGCTAGGAACTGAACTCTGGTCCTCTGGAAGAGCAGTAAGCTCTCCTGGATGCTGAGCCATTATTCTAGCTCCATGAGCTACAGATTCCTGTAGCACCCATGGCTGGACCTCACCACTGGCCATCCATGTCACCTCTCAGCTCCACAGGCAAACACCAGACTTGGGACTTTCTGCTCCAGTCATGCTTTGCCAATCTTCCCTGTCTCTGCTGAAAGCGAGCTCATGTGTTTGTCATCAGATCCTCCTTTCCTCTTCCCAGTGTCATCCGGTGGAAGACCACGGCTCCTCAGTCTGGTGACGCTGACTCTGTTCTGTTAATCAGATTATCCTGGTGAGGTCCTAACCAGCCTTCTTGTGTGGTGTGGCCCATCAAAAGTTCTCCACAGCTGCCAGAGGATCGTTTCTATTTTTGAAATCTTTTTGCTTTATTATTTATTTAGTAACTTTGGCGTAGGACTGGTCAGAGGACCATTTGTGTGAACTGATTCTGGGGGTAGAGCTCAGATCACCAGTCCAGACAGCAGGTACCTTTACCTTCTGGGCCAGTGCCGCAACCCTTTAATACAGTTCCTCATGTTGTGGTGACCCCCAACTTTAAAATTATTCTTGTCACTTCTTCAACTGTAATTCTGCTGCTGTTATGAGTCATAACGTAAATAGTTTTGGAGATGGAGGTTTGACAAAGGGGTTGCAACCCCCAGGTTGAGAACCACTGCTCTACGCCCTAGCGTGTTCTTTTTAACATACCAAAGACATCTCATTGTACTCCTCCCTAGTTTAGCTTTGGCTGTATCGCCTCAAGAGCCCGAGCCTAGCGCCTGTGCTACCACTTTAAGAATCCTTCTGCACCCTCCTGGTTTTTGAACCCCGACCCCCACCTGAACTTTGCCTCCCGCTGTCTTCAGCTGTCCTCATCTGATAAGCTGACCTTCTTGCTGTCCAGCCAACGCATTGAGGGCCATCCTGCCGCAGGGACTTTGCTCTGCGACTGCTTTCCCTGCCTCCTGACTACCTCCAGGGTGAAGGGATGCTCTTTCCTCAGGGAGACCCACTTTGTCCCTCACCTCCTTCACAGACGTTCCAGACGTGTAGTGGTTTTCCTGGTCCTCCAGTTTAAAACCCAAGCTTGGCTTCCAACGCCTGAATCAGGTGGCTCATAACTGCCTGTGCCTCCAGCTCTAAGGATCTGATGCCATCTTCAGGTCTCTTCAGCCACCTGAACACACACACACACACTCACACATGCACGATCAAAAGTAAAAAAAAAAAAAAATTTCAAAAAAGGGTTTAAACATGGTTTTAAAGACGTGCTTGTTTTTCATTTCGTCATTCACTTCACATTGGCCCGCTCCGGTTGCTCAGGACCGTGGTCCAGAGCTGGACTGGTTATCTGACTTTAACAGATGGGGATACAGCGTGCATAGAAGAGGGAGGCTGAGCTGGAGGCAGAATGTAGACGCCTTGTTTACATTGGTAAACCAGCTGCGTGGGTGGAACTGTGTTTAAATGATTCCAACAGCAAGGTTGTAGGCTGAAGCCTAGTGGGATGGGTTTCCTTTGGAATTCAAGAAGCTCGAGAAATTGAGGCCATGCAGAAATGGGAAGATTTCCCGTGAGATCGGGTGTCAGTTGGACAGTTGTTCTTAAGCCCCAGGTCTCCGCCCCCTCGTATCCGGCCCGAGCTCAGGTTGCTGAGCCAATAGCTCTCACAGAATAGTGGGCTTGTTTGCCACTGGCCGTCCCTCACTGCTGTCTCCCTCCCTCTGCTCTCATGTGAGTGCATGTGACCTGGTCAGGTGCTGCTCCTGTGGACGGCAGTATGGTGAGGGGCAGCTTCAGCCAGCTGGACGCTTACCTGTCTTGTGTTTGGAGATTTCTTTTTTAGTGTATGTGTGCATGTTTGTGTATGTGGAGAGGTCAATATCTAGTGTCTTACTTTATTAATTTCCTATATGCATATATATGTTTGTATATGTGTGTGTGTGTGTGTGTGTGTGTGTGTGTGTATTTGGTAGGCTCTTTCCCTGAACTGGCTGGAGCTTGCTAATTTGGCTACACTGGACCCCAGGGATCCCCCGTCTTGCTTTCCCAGCATTAGCTCTATTCTTTGTGCCCCCTCACCAGGCTGTTTGTACGGGCGCTGGGAATCTGAACTCAGGACCTTATGTTTGTACAGCACTTTATTGAACCCTCTCCCCATCTTGTATCCAGAGACCCCGTTTAGCACTTTGGAACGTGGGGTGCTGCTACTGAGCACACCATGTGCAAACAGCGTTTATCATTACTTCAGGATTTTGTATTTTTTGGTTTACATGTCGGCTAAAGTTTATTTGTAACCTACAGATCTGTATCCCTGGTGCTCCGGCGGCCATCTCCAGATGTGTGTGAAACTGAAAATTTTGAATCACCAGTGCGTGCATTCCGCTTTGAGACTGAGCACATTGGGCCCTGCCTTTTCCTTCTGCACACATCTGTCCTTCCTGTGGTATGTTTATTGTGCTGTGGTTTTTATTTTTATTTATTTTTAATTTTTTTATCAACTAGATACAAGCTAGGTTATCTGGGAAGAGGCAACCTCAATTGAGAAAAATGACTCCATCATATTGACTTATAGGTAATATATGGGGTATTTTTTGATTAATAATGAATGTGGGAGGAACCAGTCCACTGTGGGTGGTGCCATCCCTGGACAAAGTGTTCTGAGTTGCATAAAAAAGTGAAGTTAAGCAAGCCACTGGGGAGCAATCTAGTAAGCAGCATTCCTCCATGGTCTCTAGTTGGAGGAGGGCCACTTGCTTCCCGGCTGCCTGGCAGCTTAAACCCAAAAATAATTACACAGAAACTATATTATTTAAGTCACTGCTTGGCCCATTAGCTCTAGTCTCTTATTGGTTCTTACATTTTAATTTAACCCATCTCCATTAATCTGTGCATCACCATGAGGTCATGGCCTACCAGCAACGTTTCAGTACGTCTGTCTCTGGCAGCTCCATGGCTTCTCTCTGACTCCACCCTTCTTTCACTCAGCATTCAGTTTCGTTCCTCCCCTCTCCTCCACCTAGCTCTGTTCCTCTATAGCTCTGCTATAGGCCCAAAGCAGTTCCTTTATTAACCAATGATATTCACAGCATACAGAGGGGAATCCCACATCAGTCTTTGCTTTAGTTCCTATATCCAAGTTCCTGCCTTGAACTTCTGTCCTGATTTCCATTTCATGATGAACTTTAAACTGTAAGCTGAAACAAATCCTTTCCTCCTCAGGCTTGTTGATGCTTTACCACAGCAACACAAAAAGTAACTAAGATTATCTATCTTTCTGTCTGCCTATCTATCTATCATCTATCTGTCTATCTATTATCTATCTATCTATCTATCTATCTATCTATCTATCTATCTATCTATCTATCTAT